AGAACAACTTGCAGATATCTTCACCAAAGGTCTTCATCATGTGCGGCACAAAGATTTGTGTGACAAGTTGGGCATGATTGACATCTATGCTCCAACTTGAGGGGGWGTGTTAAAAKAATTTAGTTGYTGATGTTAGGGTCTGTTTGGCTAATTAAAGTGTTTTTTATTTCATTTTTTCTTTCTGTCAGGGGCACAAGGGTATTTTCCCTTGTTATTTCTGTCGCCCTATATATATTAAAATAAAGGTTGGCGCCGCCAACACTGTTACATTGCAAAACCCTTCTTTCTTCTCTCCTCTCTTCTCGTCTCTTCTTCTCCTCTTCTCTTCTCTTCTCTTCCTCTTATTTCTGGCCGGTCATACTGTCAAGAAACCAAAAGAGAAAATTTCATAGTGGTTTGTGGTAGAAGCATAGTGCATAGCCCATCACAAAACACCATCAGGGGTGTGGGGGCGGAGCTCTCACGGCAGTATGGACCCGATCCATAGTCAGCTTATGGGTCCGACCCGAATACGATATGTTACATTGTTTGGGGGTTTTCTCTTTTGTGTATCTTTGGGCTTTGTAGAGACGTTGTGTGGGAGAGTTTGGGTGTAATGGGATTTAGGGTTTTTGTGAGAGAGGTTGTGCTGTGCACAAGTCCGTAATCTCATTTGTTGATTTCTTTAGTGGATTTCTGCACCTCCTTCGCCCGTGGATGTAGCATATAAGCCGAACCACATAAATCTGTGTGTGCTCTGTTTTCTTGCTTCTCTTTATCTCTATTTTACTTCAGTTTCGCATGCCCTTCGAATTTGTGTTTCTGGCTTTTGCGTAACAGAAACTATTTCAATTAAAGTGGTACACTGGATCAAATATCTAGAACTGTTTGGTCCTTTCTCCATAGGTGATATCATTAGAGGTTAGCATCACAAAGTGTCCTCCACTCCTCCTTCACAATGACCTCAAGAATATGTTATCAGAAACAAAACGCTATGAGATTAATTGATTAAGGTGTTGAAGGACTTAACCAACCCGTTGAACATCAAGCATTCAAGCTACTAGCTAATCAGTCAAATTTTCAAAGTCTAGTTGTTGAAGTTCTAAACAATATACAAGTTCAGCCAATCAAATCATGGATTCAGTCTAGCAAAATAATACTTACTTTACTTGTAGTCTAATTGTTAAACTTGCTGAAAGGCTGAATCTGAAATCTGGTTTCTCCACGGACCCAAGTTACACTTAATTTTCACTAACATTAGAAATAGTCTCTCTTTCTCCTTTGTTCTCTTATAATTCATTAGCATAAAGTCCTTTCAATTCAACATTACGAACAATATCCGATATCAGATAAAGTAAATGTCATGTTTATCTCCACCTCCGGTCATTTCTTTATATATCTGAAACGAAATGAAGCAATCCTAAATTCAGTAACGTGTGCGATGACATACCAGGAAGGAAACCGCCGAAAGAATCGAAGCTCTCCAAACTAAGATCAGACGGAGACTGCAACTGAGATTGAGCTTCCGAAATCAAGTACCTGAAGTCTGCCCCCTTGCTCTTTGGAACAACAACATCAGAGGTTCGACTTGTACCGCCCAGTGAGGGATCTTCAGAACCCGAATCATATTCCTCTTCGTAACGATCCCAGTTCGAAGGTAACGCAGTTGAAGAACCACGAAATTGGCGGTTCTTTTCTCTGGTTTGCTTGGCGGACGGTTTTTTCGAGTTTCCGGCTGAAGCCGCGACTGCTGGAGCTTTGGATGCTGGACTTGCGTGAGACTTTTTAGAATGATGTTGAGAGTGAGCTCTTTTGGATTTAGCCAACGCTTTCGCATCCATTCGAGGAAATCTTAAATGACCCGCGATGGAAATAGTTAAGTTAGGGTTTCGGTCACTCCACAACCACCTCTGTAACAGGAGAAAATAGAGAAGCAGAAAAACAGCCCCAGAAATCCAACAGAATCTATGCGTTCCGTTAAGGTTAAGAAAGATTCAAAGAATGAGATTGGTTATCAACAATAACACTTTCCCGCTGTAATCAATGGGACAAAAGGGAAAGAGCGTGTACAGTATTTACAGAGAGGCGCGTAATCCATTCAGATATCGGAAAAATGGAAAGTTGGAAACAGAAAATGCCCATCTGACCTGTTCTATTCACTATTCAGATTCAGATATCAGAGATTGATGCCCGTTTGGTTTGGAGGGCTGAAGCGCAGCGGCTTCTGGCTGTCCAAAATTGATACTTGATACGACACGGCTGTCCGCTTCAGCCCGTTGGATGGGCTCCAGCTTTGAGTTGCATTGACAGATTAACTGAAGAAGCTATTATTAGAGATGTTCTCAATGCATGGTGGGATGCGTACAACCAACAAATTTATGCATATCCGAATTCCTATTGGGGAGTGCTATATGGGGCAGTGTACAACAAAGAAATATATATAATAAAGAGGAAAGAGAGGAGGCAAGGGTCGTCTCACCATATTGCTTTTCTCAGTCGTTACACGAGTGAGTTTTCTATTTTGAAATTACTAAAATGTTCATTTTTGTCAATAAATTACGGCCTTTACGGTTCTAATATAAATGTTTATTATTTTCTACTATCAATGTTTAATTGGTTTTGATTTACTCTTTCTCTCTCTCACACTCCACTCAACCTATTTAAATCTCTTAAGATCTTTCTTAAATACACGCTCTCTTTCTTATACACACTCCCTAAAAATTAACGTATGTTCAATTGCTATAATTAATCCAAGATTTAATCTATCCAAACCTTTCTTCCCTAAACACACTTTCTCTCTCTTGCACACACTCTCCTTAAAAAGTAATGTATGTTCAATTGCTCTAATTAACCCAAGATTTAATATTTTTAAACTTTACTTCCCTTTGACCTCTTTCATCATCCCTATTATTTTTGAGCTCTCTCTAATCACCATGAAGAATGGAGATTGCACTAAGTGACGATGGTAAGTCCATTTCCTTAGCCATTTTGTATTTAAAATGGTGTTGTAGGCATTATTTGATTTGATTTATGCATGCTATATTGTTATTTCATTTTATATGGTGCCCTTTCTATATATAAAAAAAAGGAAACTAAATCTTGGTTTCGGAACTTCCGAAACTTATGAACTTATTACTTCCTTTATGGTAGAACTTCCAAAACATATAAACTTGAATTCAAAAAGCATTGTTTCAGCTATATAGTTTCGGAATCATGTACATATACAATATTCCTAAGATGTCTTCAAATGTTTAGGGAGATCGACTTTGTTGAATCTATAGGTAGAGAGCCATAATTTCTGCAGTTTTGGCTGATGTATATTGTGTTTTTTGTTTGAATCTATAGTTTCTCCCATGTAATTTGAGGTTTTTTGTTTTTATTCCTTCACTTATATTTACATATCAAAATAAATAGTAATGTTCCTATGGATCACTTATTTCTGCAATCCTTTTTTATTTTTTTGCACTTTCCTTTTTCACAAGATAATCTTCCATGGTAAATTAGATTGATTCCTATATTCTACTTACCTTTTTCTTCATTATCAGAATGATTCTTAAAGTTGCCCCATGGCCGCTTCACCGAATTTTTTCATGCCCCATTTTTGGTCTCCAACATTCATCATTCTTCTAATAGTTTTATAGGTCTCAAACTCTCAATGAAACTACTCAGATTGGATAGAGGTTGAGGCAAACATAGGTGAAACACCAATCCTAGCACGAGATTTCTAAGTTAAAATTATGTGAGTGAAGGTGGTATTATTGTTTTACTTTTCACTTAAAGTTGCTTAGCATTTTTCATTTCCACTATTTGTCTATTAACCTTGTATTTCTAATTAATCTTCTTTTCAAAAGCTCAAGCAAATGGATTTTATTAAGGTTCTCTTTTTTATTGTGGGAGAAATGGAAACTTAGGACGAAAAAAAGGGTCCCATTGCTTTGTATTTTGATAGGGTGGAGGTGGAAGAAAAGCACACTTTAGCTTTTCTTTTTATTAAGCATGTAAGCAAGTTAAGCAAGTTTTATTGAAGAGATAGCCACAACATTTTTTTGTTAATAGTGGCTTAATATGACTCTATTAATAAGTGATCGCTTACTCTGATTGGGATGTGCTCACTACCATCCACACCATGTTGGGAGAGAATTCCTCTCTTCCTTGTCAAGTCCAAACCTTGGTAGCCAATTGTAAGGTGTTATTTGATTTTATTCCCCCTTGCTCGCTTAAGTTTGTACAATGTTCTTGCGATAGAGCTGCACATATCCTAGCTAGGCATGCTTTTTATTTGTCTCACCACTAACTTGGTCTTGTGCACCTCTTTTCATTATACAAGCTTTACAAGTTGATCTTGCTTTGAGTGGTTAATGATTTTTTTTTTTGTTTAAAAAATAAAAGTTTTATATCTTTTCCATTTTTTAAATGGACAAGCATTATATTTAAGGTTATTTATATTAATAATAGAATATATGTTAGAAAATGAGGATAGAAGTGAGAATGAGATATTTACATATGTCACTTTTACATACATGGAAAACACTCATTTTAATTGTTTAAACCAGCTCTTATCCCTACAATTTCATTTACATTAATTGCAAACATAAGATACATCTTCCTCACCCGAGTTAACAGGGTTGTTAGGTTGAGATAGAATAAAATTATCATTTTAACATTATTTGGTTGTATTTAAAGAAGGTTTAAAAATTGATTCTATTAAGGAAATGTTAATTTAATGAAGAGTTTTAGCTTTGAGTGATTGTTTATATGTAGATGTTTGTGCATAATACTATGACCTTTTGCTCTTTCTTTCATTTAGTCTTCTTTATCTTCCCGTGCATCTCACGGGTCTGTTGTTAGTATGTCTAAATAGGAGTAAATGGAAAAGCTAAAAAGGGTACGTTATAAATGAAAAAGTCATTTGGTGGAGTCTTAGGTTGCATTTGGCATTCATTGTTTTAAGGACTTATCTCTTTTTTGCACTTAAAAACTCATTGTTCGAGGAATTTAAAATTTTAATTTTTAAATTGTTATTTGTAAATTTTTTATTTAAAAAATTGTAATTTGAGGCCAAAAAAGGTTTTTTTTTTGAAAAAATAGGTGCCTATGGCCCCTTAGGACACATAGATCTCAAAAAGTTATCCAAAATGGTTGCCAGGTTGTATGGTTTTGACCTAGTCAATAGTTTTTTTAACAAAACTCTGGGTTTTATTAGATGTAGACCTAGAATCATGGTTAGGTGATGGTTTGAATAGCTCAATCGATCAAGTCAACAATGGGTTGAAAACACTAATCATAAATTGGTGAAAGGTCAAGCTAGGGCTAGGCCCAGGTCAATCCCAAAAAATAGAGAGGTCACTTTTGGGTTATCATAGGACTTAAGCGAAATTAATGCTTGAAATGTCATATGGTTCTTTCTACTTGAAATTTGGGCAACAAAGCCTATGCATTGCACGGGGCCCAATTAGTAAGTCCTTAAGATAAGGAATGCCAAATGTAGCATAGTTCAATAGGTGATAAAATACGAGAAGAGTAGATAGATGTATGGTCACATCCATAAATGATCCTAAACAATATTTGTAAGAAGTGATATGTTGCAAGTTGAATGGGCTAAAAGGCTAGGGATAGACCAAAAGGGACATGTGATGGGTTGGGTGCACTCTAGCTTCATTGGTCCTTGGACGAAGAAGGAGATGAAATGGGAAGAGAGAGAGAGAGAGAGACTCTAATTCGATGAATCAAGAAAGAAGATGATATGATGAGGAGGTACAATGGAGGGGCTGGTTGTTCTCCGTTTGCTAGTATATTTGTTAGCCACTTTTCGTTGATGATTCTGTTCGCCATTGTCTGCAAGGAAGGCAGTGAATAAAATACTAAACCATCTTGCTTCAAACCCTAATTTTGAATTTAATAGATGACCCAATGGGTACCCTCAACCAAGTTTCAAAGTATTGATACACCTCTTCGATACTTAAAAATAGTGTGTTTTTATATATTTTTTATTTTTTTTTCAAAATTTGATTTTTAGATAGTTTTTTTTATATATTTTATTTTTTATTAAAAAAGAGGGGTTTTGAAACACTCGTAACGGGATTTGATCCTTGCCATCAACCCTTTTCCCCTAACCCTAATGAGTTGCATGACCCATATTGACCCACAAGTGGAATGGATGGGCATGGGTGGGTCACATGGGTTGGGGCTTGGATCTACATGGGTCTGAGTTGAGTTGGGCTTGATTTTGGGTATATATATATACTAAAGTAGAAACATGCCACGTCATGGCTTGAGCTTTCTCCCTTACCCCAACTGAGAACTCTCAACCCCTCTTCATTTTAGCCTTCCTTGCTCCCTCATGAAACAACCTCATCACTCCCTTTTCCCTTTCTCATTTTGACATTTCAGCATGCCTAGCCCATCCCTCTTTTCCTCTATGTTTATCTCTTTAGATATCCCTTCTTAAAACTATTCCTAAAATCTCTCTATACCAAAATCTAATCTAATCTAGCCAAGTGGCACCATTATCCCCCACTTTCTCCTAAATTATCTATAATTCCTATTTATCTCTAATTTCTATTTATCCTATCCCCCACTTTTCATCTATATCTATCAAAAGAAAGTATGAATTAAAAAAAAATTAATAATTATTTAAATATTATAATGAAATTATGTAATAACTTTAAAATATTTATTAAAAACACAAAAAATCATAGATTTAATAGTATTCATATTATTAATAATTTTATACTTTTATGAAATTCATAACGAAATTATGTACTAACAATATAAATTATAATTTTATGAATTGTTCGAATAATAAAAATTTAAAATAAAAAAATATATATTATTTAAAATTTTCAATAACTCAATATTATAAATAACCAAATATTAAAAATAGATAAATATTATATAAAAATATTTAATATTATGTAATAACCTTAAATAAATAAAATTTAAATAATGATATTTTACATTTTATTTAAATATTTAAATAACTAAATATTTTAAATAATAAAATATTTAACATAACTAAATTTTAAATAGTTAAAAAATGAATTTATGTAATAAACTTAAAAAATTTATTAAAAATAGAATATCATTATAATAGATTTCATAATATTTTAATTAATAATAATTCATATTTTACAAAATTAATAACGAAATTATGTAATAATAGTATAACTTATAATTTTATGGATTATGAAATTTGATAAATAAGT